AGTGCAAAACAGGCCGAACTTAATTTCTTTGCTAAGGCGTCGATATGCAGGTCCCACTTTAGAGATTTATCAACAACAAGCCCCAGGAATTTCACGGAATCAACGGCCTCCATGGTATTGTTATCCAGTACTACAGATTGGAGCGAAGCTCTGTAAGATAAAACTTTGGTTTTAGAGAGGTTGAGGCACAGGAGATTTGAGTCACACCATGATTTGATGGTGATTAAGTCACTAGATACGGTTCCATGGAGTTCCGTAATATCCGGGTTGCTCCAAGTGAAACTAGTATCGTCTGCGAAGAGACAAACTTTGCCGCTAATATCCAGACTAGCAATGTCGTTAATAAATAGCAGGAACAAAATAGGGCCAAGAACTGAACCCTGAGGCACACCACATTCAATTGGTTTACAAGAGGACATGGTCGAGTCCACCCTCACAAGCTGGCTTCTGCTACCAAGATAAGACTTAAACCATTCGAGAGCCATTCCTCTGAAACCGTAGAACTGTAATTTGTTAATTAAGATATTATGATTAATACAGTCGAAAGCTTTGGAGAAATCCCAGAAAATTGAGGCTGTAGAGTGGTGGCAGTTCAGACTGGAGTATACATTATTGAAAAGGGAAAACATTGCATCATTAGTACATTTGTTACTTAGGAAACCGAGTTGACTGGTAGTTAGAATATTATATTTGGAGAGAAATGATAGAAGCCTCTTTTTAACCAATCTTTCTATGATCTTTGATAGCGTAGGAAGGAGTGCAATGGGGCGATAGTTTGAAGGTAGCTCCTTATCACCTCCCTTATGCAGTGGGATAATTATCGCCATCTTAAGACAGTTTGGAAAAGCTCCATTTAGAAACGACTTGTTGATCAGAGTAGTAAGATGTTTTAATGTGCAATAATAATAATAATAATAATGTTTTATTGTCAAAAAAATTATAACATAATTTGTAGACAAAGCCTTAAAGTTAAAAATACATATTATATACATCTACATGTATACAAAGTCAAAATAAAATGATATAAACATAAACAAATATAACATGAACAAATATAAAAATGAACAAATCACCTATAAACTATGATCCAGTGTGTGGAACGCTCAAAATTAAGTCAGAAAAAAGTCATTTACTTTATATAAGGCTCTCTCTGATAAATAGGATTTTAGAGCTATGCGAAATTTAGGAAGAGATGCTATGGACTTGATGACTACTGGCAGATGATTGTGCATTTTTTTTGCGTTGTATAGAATGGAGCTCTTAATTAACTCGGAGGATGGAGTTGGCAGATAAAGATCATGCTCCGCGTTTCTAAGTGGATAGTTATGCAATGGCCTTTCTGAAATACTGGGTAGGTGTTTGCGGATAAGGCAGACTGATTCTAGTATGAAAAGGGACGGAAGTGTTAATATTTTATATTTTTTGAAAAAATCTTGGCAATGAGCTCTATTTTTTAATTTCAGGGAATATCTAATAGCTCTCTTTTGTAATTTAAAAATACGGTCAAATTGAGTCGCACAGCACGAGCCCCAGAATGGAAGGGCGTATCGAAGATGTGATTCGAAAAGGGCAAAGTAGACTGTTCTAGAAGTTGACAAGTTGAGTTCCTTGGAAACTGATCTTATCGCAAAGCAAGCGGAACTTAATTTTTTTGATAAAGAATCGATGTGCGAATTCCATTTTAGGGATTTGTCTATAATAAGGCCCAAAAACTTTACGGAATCAACGACGTCAATAGTAGTAGTGTTATTAAGTACAATAGGTTGCATCGTACTTCTATATGATAGAACTTTTGTTTTCGCAGCGTTGAAGCAGAGGAAGTTAGAGTCGCACCATGTTTTAATAGCCAACAAGTCGATGGACATGGTTCTATGAAGAGCTACAATATCCGGGTTGCTCCAAGTGAAACTAGTATCATCAGCAAAAAGACAGATTTTACCGCTGATGTCTAGACTAGCAATATCGTTGATAAACAGCAAAAATAATATTGGACCCAACACGGAACCCTGTGGAACTCCACATTCTTATGGCTTGCATGAAGACATCGTCGTGTCAACCCTCACAAGCTGTTTTCTGTTGTTAAGATACGACTTGAACCATTCCAGAGGAGAGCCTCGAATTCCATAATGCTGCAATTTGTTAATTAGGATATTATGACTTACACAGTCGAATGCTTTAGAAAAATCACAGAAAATTGATGCTGTGGAGTGCAAATTGTTCAAGCTAGAGAAGACATTATTGAAGACAGAGAACATAGCATCAATAGTGCATTTGTTGGTTAAAAATCCAAATTGGTGGATAGTTAGTATATTATATTTATGCAGAAATGATAGAAGCCTTTTCTTAACCAATCTTTCAATGATTTTGGATAAAGTAGGAAGAAGTGCAATTGGACGATAGTTCGACTCTTGGTCCTTATCACCTCCCTTGTGCAGAGGAATAATTATAGCCGTCTTGAGGCAATCTGGGAACACTCCTTGTTGAAAAGATTTATTTATTAAAGCAGTGAGGAGATTTAATGTACACTCCGGTAAATTGAAGAACATTTTTAAAGTTAGTCCATCAGTCCCAGATGAAGATTTGTTTTTAATATCTTTGATTGTACTGCGAAGCTCTGGACTACTACAGGCGTGAAGAAGAAACTGTGTAAGTTCACCTTAGCATTCGGGAGATATGAAAGTGGGTCCTGGGAAGGAGTTAAGGTATTCACTAAATTCCTAGCCACATCAACAAAGTAATCGTTAAGGATCTCAGGTGAAGTAGGAATTTTGCTAGATGAAGAAGCCTTATTCCTCAAGTCATTAACAATTGACCATGTTTCTTTTGCAACATTTGTGCAATATGCAATATCAAATTATACTGTAGAAAAGTTGTTTGGAATTAAAAGTTATGCCTAAATACCAAAACATGGCCTCCTAATTTTTTTTTTTCTTTTTTTTCGAAAAACATTAATAATTTTTATTTTTTTTATTTTTTAATTTTTTATTTCCGCTCCAAAACTTTCAAAAATTAATTAAAATCAAATCAATTTTACATAACTTTGTTCAAATTCAAGCATATTTGTAAAATTAACTTGGATTTTTAATTTTTTATGGAATCACAAAGTTCACGTTTGTTGCAATGATATTCGACACAACTTTAAAATGCCGCAATTTTCTTTTTAACAAGTTAAAACATTACTAATGGTGATATGCACATTAAAAAAGCTCTTCTTAAAGTGCAAAAGTTTTATTTTATTTAAGTAAATATTCCCATATGTTGTACACTTAAATAACCACATTGTATATTATATGTATATTAATTGTTACAAACAAAATAACCGAAATGCTGTTCTTACATTACTGATTTTTTTTTAAGTGTACGATTTGAAGTGTGGTGATGTGCTCAGTATCATACTTTAAGTGAGGTTATGCACCTTCAGTCATAGGTCGATGGTGGAACTCTGTGTGGCTGCATTCATTGTAAATGCTGGTCTGCAGAGTTTCACCACCTGGGCCTGCACACAGGCTTTGTTGTCTCTATAGGGCATACTGTGAATTATAGTAATGTAAGCTAGTTGTACTGTGTATTGTTTGTAAATTCACTTGGTAACGAAGAATTTGAAATTGAATTTGAATCTCGCTGGAAATTTCAGTCAAGCGGCCCACATCCCCACATTTAGATGTAATCTAAGAACAACCGTGATGAAACAATACATGCTGAATGAAAGCGCAGAATAAAAAATTAAAAAATAACTCTCATATTACATCTTTGGTTTATTTATTTCAAACAATCAAAATGATAATATTTTTTTTAATAGGGGTTTAAGTGAAACATTTCTATGAGAATCTTCTTGAAAGTCAACAATCCCAAGATGTCTTTATTGAAGTTCAGGCCCTGAAAATGACTGCAAGCACGGATCTATAATTTGTATTTATACAAAACAATAAAACAGTAAACCAAACATTGTTTGCAACGTGAATGTAATAACACTTTTTTTAGAAAGTTCTAATTCATTCCCTGCATCCAACCCTGTGTTATTTTGTGTCATTTTCAAATAACTTACCTCTTTACAACCCTTAACAATAATCACTATCTAAAACGTATCACAGCCAATCAGACTTAAAACTTCTAACTAATAATATATCCGTAATCCATTCTTATAGAATCCAGAATAAACGCGATTATCTCTTTGCAGTCTTTGCCCGAATAAGGCAGAATTTTCTAGATTTCAAGTTAGATTCTGTACACCATGGCGAAAGCGCATCGCAACAATATTTTTCTGTTTATTGCTGTAGTTGCAAGAACCTTGCGATGTCGTAAGACTGGCTCGTCATTTATCTATTATTTCAATTTGAACTTTGAAGAAAAATTTTAAATATTCCAAATAATTTCTATCAATGCCAATTTTTTATTTATTTTCAATTTATTGCTAATAAAATTAGAATTTCTCTTTAAATATCAGAGAATAAATTAACATTATATTATTTGATTCGATTTAAATTTTCTGTTCAATTGAGAACTTTGAAATTTTCAATTTATCCGAAACCTTTTGATATATTAAGAAATTTGTGTTCCATTTAATTGCAATTTTACTTTACTTTAACTTTTAGAAAATTCTCTTTTTTTTTATTTAAAGTCTTTGAAAATTATGGGTCCATTTTTTCGGGTCATTACAGAATAGAAGACGACAGCGGATGGTGATAACTATTGAAATATCAACCAAGAGAAATGTGAAATGATTAAAGACAAAAGTAATACCTGCCTGCACAAACCTAAAAGACATAAATTAATTTGCCATGAACATCAAAAACCCTCCAAAATAATGAACAAGCAACAAATGCAAAAGAAAAAGTCTGCTCTATAATCGTCATAGAAAAAAAATAACAAAATAGAAACAAGAGCAAAAATTGAAGGCCATAAAGAGAAACATATGAAGTATTAAAAGAGGGTGAAATACTACAAACAATCAAGAAAGTAATGAGAAGGAAACTCGTTAATATTGCTTATTTTTATTTTAGTGTCATACCTTAATGGTGCTGTTCTCAACATAAGCAAAGTAAATCGATTACAAATGGGTCCGTATTTATGTATTGCTTCCAATGGAGTCCCACCATCAGTAAGCAAAAGAATTATGTTAATTGTACATTGTAAGTAGAAAATATGAATGTTGGTATTATTTTCCTGCTATTTAAATCAAGTATTGAATTTATTGGCGTTTCGTTTAAAATTAACCCAAAAAATGTTGAACTTTTAATAATGAAATACAGTGTAGAGTATTTCTAAATCCCATTCGTTTGCTAATAATAAAAGTATAATGCGGGCATTTTTTTTCTCTTCTAGCCGCTTCAAAATATGTACCTACGATAACTTATAATTATTATTTTTTTGAAATCCAACAAAAAGTGAAATTATTCTAGACTGCTTGTGCAATGCTCGGGCTCTTATGTAGGCGAAAAAGCAGTGCAATTTTCAATGTCAAAACCGAAGAAACAAAAATCGTCAACAATATAAAAATAATTCCTTTTGGAAAACACAATATTGAAATTACAGAAATAGGTAGGTAGTGATAGTGGTCGAATGCTTCCTAGCTATCACAATACTAAGAGTCAATGATAAAAGTTAGGAAACGTTACTACCCTCAAATTAGCTACAGCATTAAATTTATCAAAAAATGACCCGTATTTTAACTTTTGTTTAGCAAACGACTAGCATTTTATAATAGATTTTTTTCCAGCTGAATGTTCTACTGTGTATGTTATATTTTTGTTTTATTTTTAAGTTCCTCCAATGATTTGGATTCAAAATCAACTTGTTGGCGCAATGGAGGGACAAATGATAAGTTTGGAATGCCATTCAGAAGCATTTCCCAAGTCTATCAACTATTGGACCAGGGATGATAGTCGAATTATTAGTTCCCAAGGTAATAGGCCAGGAAACAGAGGTTGAACGTCGCAAACTCGACACAAGTTCTGTTGTATTTTCTTTTGGTAGAACTGCTTATTATGGGTCTTACTTTTTTCAACAAAATTTTTCCCCAGGGGTGTTTCCCCTTCTACCCCCCCTAAAGATCGTTTTTATGGTTTTTCAGAAACGAAGCACTTCTGCTACGTTTTACAAAAAAATACCTCTATAGTAAATTAAAGAGGACTAAATGCTATACAATTTATCCAGCGACAGCATATGTTTATCACCTACCCTTTAGCCGGGGTGGCGCTTGTAACCCCTTTTGTTAACAATTTAACAGGAGGCCCATAATATACTCAGTTTGCTCAGGAAAAACCGGCTCCTCGGAAAAACGCTCCTCGAAAAAAAACGGCTCCCCAGAAAACCCACGAGAGGGTTCGAAATTCACAATTGAATAAAACGGTAATCACGAAACTTTTGATTTAATTTTCTTCAGTAATCAACGGAACTTAGCCTTGTGCAACTTTATTTCGCTAAACGAAAGCCTGATGGCCGATAAAGTACTTTTCTTCACGAGAACGGTAATCACAGTTGAGCAAGATGCCTGCTCCCCAGGCCAGAGTCGACCTATCAGGGCGAACGGCAAAATTTAAAAGGAGCGAAGAAAAGACAAGCTGAACAAGCAGAGCTTCCCTTCAAAATAAAAAACAACGGAAAGTGTTGGTACCAAACTGGTACTTCAAATTTAAACAAAAAGCGTGCCCTCTAGGTTAATAATTGCTATTATTATTTTCGACAGAAATCTTTTTTTTTAATGCTAGTCACCAGACTGTCAACATTAAAGGTAATAATTTAACTTATAAAAGGATATATGGAAGAAAAAGCAACAGTTAAAACAGTAGCATTTCACATGCTACACTGCCCTCCCTCAAAAAAAGAAAAAAATACGTAGTATATTTTTATTTAGATGAGCTTAAAAACTAGGTAAGGAAAGTGCATAGAAAAGTTAGACGCATACCTAGTTGAGGAAAAAAAGAGGAAAGTTGAAAGCGGTTGTCAAGTATTTTAGTCTGATATCTAACGTGTATCATCGCCCCTACGGAAATCATTATTCTTAGGTCATAATCGAGAAATTGGTAGGTCATAATCAAAACATAATCAAGAAAAATTCATAATTTGATGAGGTCCTCTAAAAACTTGATTGAACTTTCAATGTTATTTACTATTATTTTGCCATTTATAACATTTGGGAGGAAGAGAAACGGTAGAAAAAAAAAACAACTTCTCAGGCAGTGAAAAGATGAAATGTCAATTTAGATATATTTCTGGGCGGAGTTCCCGAGAGGAAGTAACAGAGACCTTTCATCCCTTGCATACAACGGGGATCAGCCGCCATATACTTATATTATCCGTAAAAAGGCTCAATCAAGAGAATAAAGGAGAAATCAGTGTGCGGACGAACACACCTAGGAATGCAATCATCTCAAGAATGGCTCTTTCCATTGAAATCACCGTTATTTCTCAAAGGACTGCCCGACTCTAACCCTCCCCACCAAGCCTGTGTCAATGGGGTAGTAGGCAGCAGCCTGTCCAATTGATTTCCCCCCCCCCCCCCCCCCCCCCAACGGACAAGAGAAATCATTTCAACAGAAGTTGGCGAAACTCGTATAAGGGAAAACTTTAGATAACTTCACCCCGGAGCAGAGGTGCGCGGTAATCAAGTCAAAATTTTTCTCTTCTCATTCTTCAGAAGGATTTCCTTCTGAGGAATGGCACACTCGTATTCACAATCCCTGATAGAAATATGTATTAGGTCACAACGGTAACAGCAACGGTAATAGTAAAATAATGGTAAGGTGAGAATGATAGGGACATAGATAAAGATAGAGAGGTAGGTAAAGATGAGTATATCCTGTTCACAATCCGATGTCCACAGGTGCAGGTAAATTTATCACCTTTCCCTATCAAATAGCATTGAAAGGTGATTTTACCTGTACCTACCTGTGGACATCGGATTGTGAACGGATAATAGTTAATAAAGGTAGCTACAGGGAAAAATTCCGAACAAAATCATGTCGATAATGGCTGGCGAAATCTGATTCTGCATTATGAACACCGGCATAAGGTATTAGGTAGATTATACAACTCACTGTACATTATTCCCATATGACACGAAAGGCTTAAGAAGTGATAAGCCTTTTAGGATTATCGCGCTTGGTGGCATTTGTCATTAATAATGATAAAAATTAATAAAGCATTTAAGTTTAATTCGTTGTATAACCTTTTGAATACCACTCGATGTTTCAGGATTACCTAAAACTTTTACCTGACACTCAACGCGTTACCAGCAACACCACTCCTCCTTCGGAGTCGTGGTGTTGCTGCGTAACGCGTTTCGTGACAGGTAAAAGTATTATCCGGTAATCCTGAAACCTCTTGTGATATTACATTCGATAAGTATTTTCAACGATAAGCGATAATTAAAATCGGTAATTCAAAAACTGAGATATGGCAACAAACTACCAGACAGAAATTGGACCCCAAGGTAATGAAATTGATAGATGAGCTGAGTCGCAGAAACTTTTTGAAATCGGTACGGTACTGTGAAGGAAACATAAACTCAATCCAGAGACAAGACTCAGCTAGAGCCAAGGTAAGGTATTTTAAAAACAGGAGATAATAGAGGTAAGGGTTAGGAAAAATAGTGAAGCTAAGGGATGTATCAATGACAGTCACTTGGTATAAAACAAAATGTCCATATCAACCAAGAGACAAGGATAACTCACTGATCTCAAAAATAAATGGATAAACAAAGAACGTTTCTAATGCTGCTAATTTACGAGGTCTTAATGTAAACAACGGGGACAGCTGTGAGCGTGCGCAGTAGATACATGTACAGTGCGTGCGCAAAATATTGTCAATGAAAATGAAGGATATTTCAAAATCTAGAACAGTTGTTCGAAAGATAAGACAATGCGCAGGCGTTTGGCTGTTCCTTTGCACAACTGTTCGTAGAATATACCTCAAAATGGGCTCTTTCACTAAAATTTAAATACGTAATTTAAGTATAAAATCCCAAAGAAGGGACTATTTTAGGCATATATACCAAAAAAAATGTTCCACAAGGTTAAATAAGTTTTTTACAGGCATTTGAAAATGGCCAAATTCAAACTTATTTAAAACGCGCCGATTCGCTGACGTCACATAAATATTTTCCATTTCACTCATGTTTTTGCAAGAAGCTGACCGGCTCGGCTGTGTTGCTCTCTGTAAAAGCACAGCAGGTACACGTAAAGGTTCGAATGCGCGGTTGTCGGTTGTGACTGAATGTAGTGCAACGTAAAAAAAAAAACTGAACATAAAAAAAAGTATTAAATTTTATTTAAGCATAATTTCAAAAAAAAAAATGTTATAAACAAAAGATAACTTGGTTAGACAAAGGAGAAGATAAGTTTTAATATTATAGATAAATCGATATGGCAACGTTAAAATATTATGTTATTGCAATCCTATGCATGACACGCGATAAAATGTCCATATCGACAACGGTAAGGTGATGTATATAATAAAAGATAAATAGTTTATTAGACAAAGCAAAAAATTATGTCATAGTCATGACTCAGGACACCGAGGTAATAAAATCATTCAATAGGAGCAAGAAAACTTTACTATGAAATAGTGACGAAAATGGGGCATTTATATCGGACTATAGGTATAGGGTATAAGGACAAGATTTTCCTCGGAATGGGAAATGAGAGAAATCAAGAGCTCGCGAAGGCAGGAACGCTGCGTTCCTGAACAGGCTATCCTTTGCCGGAATCGCTAGGAAGTACTATCCGCTACCTTTCATTTTCCAAAAGATACTTAGAATTCGGGATTATTAAGGAAATGCGAAACAGGGAAAATATCAAGAATCAGTAGGTAGATGACGAAAGTATTCAATAAATTTTGCTCGGTAAATTATTGAAAATATAGGAAAACATAATGTAGAAATTGAAAAATTTAGATTTATTTACGTAATACTGGTATACCTAAAGTCAAGTAGTTGAGTTATGCAAATTGCAAAGATAAAAGGTAAAAGATAATACCAAACTGTACAATATTTAATAATGATGTTAATATGTGATGATTCGTGCGCTAATTTATGTAACCCCTTTTGTTAACAATTTAACAGGAGGCCCATAATATGCTCAGTTTGCTCAGCGAATAGTTGTTAGGGTTGGGTCAATAGTTCGATAAGTACAGAATGGCAGGGGTGGCACTGAATTCGTGAAAAAAAAAAAAATTAAATTACATAAAATAGTGAAGTGTGACAATTCAGAAACACACCTAAAAAAAATAATTAGCAAATGGTAATAATTGTTAATTCTGGAAAGAAAAAAAAAAAAAAAAAGGCATATAACTCAACCAAATCTTGACATAGGTAAAACCAATAAAACACTCAAGCAATTTTCAAATCAAAATAGTATATATTTTCAGTGAGGTCAAAAATCAAGTATTGTATAATTTTAAAAGATAAAATCAATTGTTCGTAAAACACTTCAAATAAATTAATAGAATCAATAGAGGTTAACCATATATTTATTATAACACGTATATCGCGGGTTGGTTTGAGTTCTTGAAGCAAACATTATGAGATAGAACGATGCCTTCTTTGTCTAAAGTGAACTTATTTTTCCACTGCGCATGCGTCAATTTGAAGTTATTCCACCAATAATATTTCATTTTGAACAGCTGATATTGCAGGGTTGCCAATAAAATTATTTTCATCTTCGAGTTATTTAAACATTCAAAAGAAACATGACGAATTTTGTATTTTGGTGGGTGTAACACATACTCGATTTCGACAAATAAACCAATATATTCATTTTTATTAGTGTTTTGGAATCAAAATACAATCGACCAAATTATAACCTCAAAAAATGATCCTAATTCATTGTACTTTTTAGCTTGACATGACAACACGGCACGAAAAGCTTAATGCAAAATGGCAACCGCCGGCCAAAAAGAATCTAGAGTTTAACGCAAGCGCAGTTCATAACCTCGTTCTCCTTCGTTTGACAAAAATAGACTTATGCGAGATCATTTAACTTTATCTCTCTTTGTTTGCTTCAAAAACCGCACATTGGGTAAATGGGGAAGGCGCGATATACGTTAGTATAATAGATATATGAGGTTAACTCTCAATCAGATTCATCAGATTCCAGAAAAATATTATCAAATTGTAATATACTTGCCATTTAAGTTCAATAAGAGGCGCTGGCCATATCATTATCATGAAATTGAAATATGAAAGATTTAAGTTTCCAGAAAAAAATAAATAAAAAATTACAGAAAATTGTGAAAATATGGTCAGCTTCTGCTCAAAGAGTAAATTCAACAAAATCAACTTGCACCTGTATAAAATCAAAAGTTGAGTTAAATGGTCAGGAGATAGAATAGAAATCCTCAAATATCTATATGAGTTATACCCAAGTTAAAAATTGAACAATTTTCGACGATAAAGTTAGAGCATGTTGTCCAACCTTGACTTCAGTTCAGATTATTGATTTTGAATAATAAAATTTACATTCCTAAAATATGGCAATAATCAAAGTTAAGTAAAGATAAATCTATAATAAATTCGATAAATCGAAAATTAATTATTCCACCATCACTTCGGTGTCAATAATGCGAAATAAATTTTTTTAAATATTTAAATGTCATTTTAATTATTTAAATAATCAGAAAAAATTGTTGTTGATCATAAAATAGATAATAAAGAAAAAAAATATATTAAAAGTTATTAAAGAAATTTTATACAAGCCTCCATTTCAACAAAAGGTGGATTACGGTAGCCATCCGATTTTCTGTCACTTGACGAGGGAAGTTGCACATGGAAGTTGCAGACTCTAGCCTTGAATCAAGGTAGATAGAGGCTAGAAGTTCTCAAGTATCGTCAAATGTGGAGGTACAGGAGTCAATACGTGAGGGACTTGATTCCTCTAGGAATCCCTTCAAAAGCTCTATGCCCCACTCCACGAAAATGGTGTTCTTTAAAAATGTGGGCTTGTTGGGAATGGATTCCTTGAGAGAAACGGCTCCTCGGAAAAAAGTATCCCTAGAAAAACGGCTCCTCGGAAAAAGGCTCCTCGGAAACATGCTTCTCGGAAAAAAGGGCCCCGCGGAAAACCCACGAGGGGGTTCGAAATTCAAACTTGAATAAAACGGTAATCACGAGACTTTTGATTTGAATTTGTTTGGTAATGAACGGAACTTTTCCTGGCGCAACTTTATTTCGCCAAACTAATGCCCGATGGCCGATAAGGTACTTTTCTTCACGAGAACGGTAATCACAGTTGAGGAAGATAGCGGCCCTCCAGGCCGGACTCGAAATATTAGGGCGAACGGCAAAATTCAAAAGCGGCGAGGAAAAGACAAGCTGAACAGGCAGAGCTTTCTTTCCGAAAAAAAAGAAACAACGGAAAGTGCTGGTACCAAACTGGTTCTTCAAATTTAAACGAAAAGCGTGCCCTCTAGGTTAATAATTGCTATTATTATTTTTAACAGAAATCTTCTTTTTTTTTAATGTTAGTCACCAGACTGTCAACATTAAAGGTAATAATTTAACTTATAAAATCTGTTTTTTTTTTTAAGATAAAAGTCAAAATTACATTCTGTTGGCAATACAATGTAAAATTGTCAATGCTTTCAATTTTTTTGTGTAGAAAAGGCTTGTGTTGCCAACATAGTTACTAAATTTTTGACTTCGGGAATCATCTTTAAAAAAAAAAACAGACTTTAAAATGATATATGAAAGAAAAAGGAACAGTCAGAACAGTAGCATTCCAGATGCTACACGCTCTAAAGTTGAATGACCTTGGAAAAATATGTTATGGATTTTTTTTTTTACTTAACAGTTAAGCAAATTCATCACAAACCATGCAGCACATACTCATAAATAATTGGACGATTTTTTGGTACCTATATGTTTTATTTAAAAACAGTTACCCGTTAAAGATATACAGGGAGTTGAAATTTAAGCAAACCCCTTTCATATCCTCTGAAGGGCTAATTTTCTACCTGAAAACATCCCAAAAAAAAATAAATTTTGAAAAAAAAGCAATATTTAACTATTTTATTTTTTTTTGCCTGGGGGTGCATCCTAAGTATTTTTGAATATCATTCCTACATCAATAATTCCTGAAAATTTGAACAGCCTAGCATTAGCCCTTCAGATGATATGAAAGGGGGTTGTTTAAATTTCAACACCTTGCATATCTAAATGTGTTACTGTTTTTAAATAAAACATATACCAAAAAATCGGCCAATGATTATGAATACGTGATGCATGGTTTGTGGTGAGTTTGCTTTACTGTTTAGTAAAACATAAATAAATTCCGAACATCTTTCTTCAAGGTCATTCAAATTTAGAGCGCCCACCCGACTAAAGGGTAGGTGATAGACATATGCTGTCGCTGGATAAATTGTAGAGCATTTAGGGCCATGCAAATTGATAGGATTCAACCGAAGGTTGCAAGTCAACCATCGGTTCAGTGTTTTATAATACCAGCCATTAGTCCTCTTTAATTTACTATGAAGGTATTTTCGGAAAAAACACAAAAACAACATTTAGGGAGATAAAAGGGGATGTTCCAGGGAGAAATTTTGTAGGAAAAAGTTCGACCCATAATAAGCAACTCCTGCAACAGAACTTTTGTCGAGTTCGCAAGGTTCAACCCCTCTCTCCTGGTCTATAACACTTATACTGGTATCTAGTATCACTTGTCAATTTTGTCTCTCGATATATATTATATATTTTTTTCTTCAAACGTCAAAAAACCTGACATTTATCTACTAATTTCATGATGTTAAAGTGTAACTTTTATGTCAGTTGACGGTTACTATGGACAACGGAAGTAAAAGACTTTTACCTCCGCTCGTGACCGGAAGTAAAATTCTTTTACCTCCGCTCGTGAATATTTGCCATAACAACGTTTGCTTCTTGGATTCACTGAATAATCCTATACATTTTCAGATTCCAATTTTATCCCCCTTCAGTATAAGACAGAGTACTTTCTGTTTTAATGTTTCTAATAATTGGTTATTACAGAATTGGTCTGGAATCTAAAACTAAATCATTGCAAAGCTTATCTAAGCGTATACCACAAACAGCTGCAGAGCTAAATTCTCGATATTTTCCTTCCCTCATAAACAAGCTGCTATCTCTCCTAGATAAGATAATACACCTTTAAAATATATCCTCGTAATAATTCTGTTTCCCTGTTCCTGTTACAACAAGTCCCATTAAAAATGGATGCAGATGCAGGCTCATCTCGCGCCTCTTTGTTAAAATATAAATAGCTCTGCAGCTCTCAGCTCCGATGTTAGCTGGTACACGGATCTGAAACAAAGCTTCAAAATGCATTTGTTGCAAAATTAAATTAACTTTTAGAAATGATTGCTGCAGCAAAAACAAATTCTTTATTCACATGTACTTTCTAAAATTCCTATTAGATGAAAATATACAATTTATATTTTCTATTAGGTACAAAATACGACCCAATTTTTGTAGACAATACCTACAAAGTTCATATGAAGCTAACAATACGCAATGTAACGTCTAACGATTATGGATCCTATAGGTGCATTGCAAAAAATTCTTTAGGGGAAACTGATGGAACAATAAAGCTTTATCGTAAGTAATTCTAGATTGATGTCAAAATGATTGATGATTATTATTATCTACTTTTTAGAAATAACTTCTCCAGTAAGTCTTTCGGCGTCTAAAACTACGCAGCCTAGTCCTAAAGGGATAAAAAGTGAGTAGCTACTTTTTAGTTATCAAAGAAAACAAAAAATATCTTCAGCAAACTTAATAATTTAATTTTGATTATTTACCGTCTTGAAAAGTTCCTGCTATTGAAAAATTAAATTTTTACTTGGTTTCACCTAATTTACTTATCTACATTAAATCAAAACTGAAGAAAGGAACATGGTATATTTAATATAAGAAAAATGTGCAGACAAATTTGTACCGTTGAAAATTGGAGAGTTAATTAAATTCAAGGAGGCGGGATCCTGAATGTGCCGCTCTAGCCGGGACGCGTGTAGACAGAACGTACAGCGGACTAGCAATAAGCCTTCAAAGCCTAGCGCTCATTGGCTATTGTCAAGGCTATGGATGATTAAAGAAGTGAGACCGAAAAGAAAAGAAATTTTGCTGAAAATGTTGGAGAAAATTTACCCAACGAAAAATCGCATTAAATGGAAGCGGATCAAAAATTCTAAATTATCACGCCCTAACCTAATTAACACTTCCAATTCATTTCATTTCAATAACAAACGGTCTTTTCTCGAATGGTTGACAGTCGCCAATTTCTATAGCTATTGAAATTTCGTCCATACTACCTGACCTACCCCTAGAATATTATTGAAATGTCTTTAAATAATGTGCCATAACCTATCTGGCTTGTAAACAATAGGTCTGTCCCAACCTCAATGGTTCCAACACAACAGGAAAACGTACAAATTTACCGTCAGGATTCTGCGCCAAACCAAAAATGTTTGCGTAGAATTCGAGATTCGTTTGTCATTTGACAATAATTTCCCAAATTTATTGGTAATTCATTAATATACCTGCAACTTTTTGTTGTTAGAAATCCGCGGTAGATATGTTACATACTTCGGAAGAGTTGTATTTTAAATTCTAATCCATTAAAATTCCCGTTCAAGCAACTCTATAAGACATAGCACCGAAATTCAACAAAACAGGTGGTCTATTATCAGTATTATCTAAAGATTTATTCACAAACAAATTATGAGAAACATAATCAGTCAGCCAGGTAGTCTAACAATCTTATGAATAGTAGTCACAATCACCACTCGCATTCATTGAAAAATTTAGATTTTGAAGAATTTTCTAATTTATTTTCAAAACATCGTTTTATGTTTTCCAGACATAAGGAAGTTTGTAAGAGAAAATGCTGATCATAACACATCAAGTTATGAAGAAGCTGAAATTTCGAGTCGCATGAAAATGAATAATGAGGGTAATGTATTCACTATCATTAAAATTCAATAACACTTAACGAAAACTATTGTAGATTTTTCTGCGAGTAACATGATAATCGACAATAAAGGAATCAATGACGAGGATCAACAAGTGGAATATTCCAATGCAATTAATTTTAAGAACCGCTATATTGTATATTTTGTGATATTATTCCTATTTATATGAGGCCTCTATTGGAACTGATATTAAAAATTAAACTGCTTAAAACCACATAAATTTTGTCACTCTGATAGATTTGTGTCCTACCTACTACAGCGTGTCTACATTACCTTCCTTTTAAGATTTTTATTTCTTAATCGATTTTATTTAACTTTTTTTTTCTTAAGAATGCATTCAAATCTTAATCTGGGTTATCTGGACACACTGTGTAATAATTTCAAGCGAAAGTTGAGCTTACTGTAAAAAAATAAATATTTTTTTCAACTGATCTTGACAAAATGTGTTTCTTTTGTGTTTCCCTTGCACTTCTCCCAACTCTTAAGCCGAAACATCTTGATTCAATCAAACCAAGAAGATTGAAACTAGCAGCCCGACGAAGAAGATTACGGCATCAGGTAGGTGTATAATCCAAAAAAAAAAGTATAGGTACAGGATTGATTCTTGAGGTGAGCTTGTTCAATTACAGCTTATTCGTGTTGGGAAAAATAAAATTGATCATAGTTCTAGAGCAAGTAGTTTTAAACATTTTTCCAGAAAACAGGAACGATCAAATTCTCCAAATCGAATTTGGATTAAAACCCGTAGTAAAAGACTTTAAAGAATTTTATAAAACACTAAATATTTGGTTAATCTGTAAGAAAATGATTCACATTGAGAACCGAACTTTTACTCGTTGATCACATTAAAGAGAAATCATAGCGAATCCCCAAAAAAAAATATGTATTCATGGCAGATTGCCTGATTTGGCAATATAGTAACTTGGACTTCTTATATAGTTTCGAAGATATGTTTAATAATTATGCGGTTTATAATAACTACAAGTTTTAGTGCATCGATAAAACATAATACATATACTTTTATTCATTCCACCGCACACATCTCAACAAACCTTTTGCGATCCAAAAATTGCATTAAAGTTTCCTTTTGAAGCACCTACAAGTTACAGGAATCTGTCACTACAACCGAGAAGTTTTTTCTAAAAAAGACTCACGACAAATAAAACAGTCTAAACAGACTCAATAACAATTATATTTGCACTAAAGGACGTTTTTGCATGTGTTTGCGAGCGGAGTCTAGAACTTGAATCATAGCTAGAGGAACAAATTCTAATAACTGTACAGCGCCAACTCCTGTACGACAGGAACGTCCAGATCTGCATAAGATAATCAAATTCTACGACTCTAGGTATCAGCGCATCAGAAAAAAATGGAAATGTTATTTGAGAAATAAATAACGATAGATTGAATTTGACCTTGAAGGAAGACTTCAGCCACTACCATAGCGAATTGTCCATTGACATATTTATCAGATATTTAATAGACGTGTCTCGTATATAAAAAGAGACAGTGCATATGGTTAAAAGTAATGAGATGAACTGGGAGAGAACATAGATGCGCGCGCCGCTGAGGACGTTACTGACATTTTTCAAGTTGGTGCATTTATTATGTTCCGGGGGGTTTATTTGAAACGTGCAAAATGTGTTACTGTTTGATACAGGAGTTGAAAACAAACGAAGGGTCATTTATATAACCCCAATTTATGCGGATTTAGGTGTGGCAAAAAGCCATGCAATTCAAGCTATGTTGAATATGCATGCAATATACGGATGTGAAACTTCCAGTTCTTTTCTTCGTCGTAGAAAGTTTTCGGTGAAATCTAAATTAAAAAAATCATGCCTATCCTTAAGTCATTAGGATTATCGATTATCACTTAGGTCCGCATCATATCTGGGTATTTTTTCGTGTATTTCTACATGAAGAAATACACGAATGTAAAGGGGAAATATTATTCGTGTATGCATAGCTTATCACGTGCATAAATTCATAAATTTATGCTTGTAGAAATACACGGAAAAATACACAGATGTAATACGGGCTTTACAATTACAGACAATTTAGTGATAGACCTAGAGAAACGTCACAATTTTAGTTACCTTCCTCGTCCGAAACGGCTTTACCGATTTTTATGAAATTTTATATGTATATTCGGTAGGTCTGAGAATAGGTCTTAAGCTATTTTTATACCCCTAAGTGATAAGGGTGATCCATGCCAAAAAAAAATATTTTTTTTTTGCTTCTCACCACTACATAACCTAACGTATTTTTGTTTGCGCATTCAACCGACGCGACGTAACAGTATTATCTATAGGATTTTCAGCTTTACTGCTCCTAGAGCGCTCTCTATTTGAGCGGTGACGTCACATATCTCTGCGGAAGTGCTCCGAGAACGATTATGATCCAAGCGAAGGTACCCTATTTGAAATCAATAGCCGAACGTACTTTAATTGTTTTCTTTTGATCAATCATTGATCTATCGAATTTGACGGAGCAAGGAATAGCGCTTCGCGTGCGAGATTTGAGAGCGTTTATTGCTCTAGTCCAGGCGCGGCTCGTGAGTATTTCTACAGGTGGGCTAAATTTAGAGGGAAAGCGCCGTTTTTCGAAAGTCAATCCACCACTAGAAATTGAAGAAATAACTTCCTGAACAATGAACCACATTTTTGTGAAGCGGTTAAAGACTGAGATATTGGATCACACAAAAATTAAAATCTTTGAGAATCAAACGATAATCGAAAACAAAACAAAAACAATCAAGTGCACAATGACAATTCAGTGAATCTTTTAAGAAAAATAATTCTGGACACCCACCCAACACTCTAGGCCTTTTGTTTTTCATATTTCCTTAATAAACGCGATTGAAAAAAGACAATAATTCTGAGCGGTCTGGTTCCATTCCTATAAATACATATTATCGATCGATCAAGGATCTTGCCGCAGCCGGCCCTCGACGTGATTGAACATATGGGCGCAAATGTGCTTCTTTATCTTACTCATGTACGCCCGTTAGGTTTCTCTCTCTCCGACTCCTATTGCATTCGCCTATGATCATTTAAAAGCTATAAGCCCAATTTTAAATACGGCCGAGTGCAGCATGCCTGTATTTTGTAATTTTTAGAGGCGGGTACCCAATATAAGCAGTTCAGTGCGCAAAATAATTCGATTTCAGCATTTTGTTGATTAAATTAAAACTTAATATTTAAAATGGAAATGTTATTTGAGAAATAAATAACGATAGATTGAATTTGACCTTGAAGGAAGACTTCAGCCACTACCATAGCGAATTGTCCATTGACATATTTATCAGATATTTAATAGACGTGTCTCGTATATAATAAGAGACAGTGCATATGGTTAAAAGTAATGAGATGAACTGGGAGAGAACATAGATGCGCGCGCCGCTGAGGAGGTTACTGACATTTTTCAAGTTGGTGCATTTATTATGTTCCGGGGGGTTTATTTGAAACGTGCAAAATGTGTTACTGTTTGATACAGAAGTTGGAAACAAACGAAGGGTCATTTATTTAACCCCAATTTATGCGGATTTAGGTGTGGCAAAAAGCCATGCAATTCAAGCTATGTTGAATATGCATGCAATATACGGATGTGAAACTTCCAGTTCTTTTCTTCGTCGTAGAAAGTTTTCGGTGAAATCTAAATTAAAAAAATCATGCCTATCCTTAAGTCATTAGGATTATCGATTATCACTTAGGTCCGCATCATATCTGGGTATTTTTTCGTGTATTTCTACATGAAGAAATACACGAATGTAAAGGGGAAATATTATTCGTGTATGCATAGCTTATCACGTGCATACATTCATAAATATTTATGCTTGTAGAAATACACGGAAAAATACACAGATGTAACACGGGCTTTACAATTACAGACAATTTAGTGATAGACCTAGAAACGCATCTGATACTTGTCGAGTAATAGAGGATACACATCTAATATATAAAATTCTCATGTCACAATTTTAGTTACCTTCCTCCTCCGAAACGGCTTTACCGATTTTTATGAAATTTTATATGTATATTCGGTAGGTCTGAGAATAGGTCTTAAGCTATTTTTATACCCCTAAGTGATAAGGGTGATCCACGCCAAAAAAATTTAATTTTTTTTTGCTCCTCACCACTACATAACCTAACGTATTTTTGTTTGCGCATTCAACCGACGCGACGTAACAGTATTATCTATAAGATTTTCAGCTTTACTGCTCCTAGAGCGCTCTCTATTTGAGCGGTGACGTCACATATCTCTGCGGAAGTGCTCCGAGAACGATTATGATCCAAGCGAAGGTACCCTATTTGAAATCAATAGCCGAACGTACTTTAATTGTTTTCTTTTGATCAATCATTGATCTATCGAATTTGACGGAGCAAGGAATAGCGCTTCGCGTGCGAGATTTGAGAGCGTTTATTGCTCTAGTCCAGGCGCGGCTCGTGAGTATTTCTACAGGTGGGTCAAATTTAGAGGGAAAGCGCCGTTTTTCGAAAGTCAATCCACCACTAGAAATTGAAGAAATAACTTTCTGAACAAGGAACCACATTTTTGTGAAGCGGTTAAAGACTGAGATATTGGATCACACAAAAATTAAAATCTTTGAGAATCAAACGATAATCGAAAACAAAACAAAAACAATCAAGTGCACAATGACAATTCAATAAATGTTTTAAGAAAAATAATTCTGGACACCCACCCAACACTCTAGGCCTTTTGTTTTTCATCTTTCTTTAATAAACGCGATTGAAAAAAGACAATAATTCTGAGCGGTCTGTTTCCATTCCTATAAATACATATTATCGATCGATCGAGGATCTTGCCGCCGCGCCGCAGCCGGCCCTCGACGTGATTGAACATATGGGCGCAAATGTGCCTCTTTATCTTACTCATTTACGCCCGTTAGGTTTCTCTCTCTCCGACTCCTATTGCATTCGCCTATGATCATTTAAAAGCTATAAGCCCAATTTTAAATACGGCCGAGCGCAGCAGGCCTGTTATTTTGTAATTTTTAGAGGCGGGTACCCAATATAATCAGTTCAGTGCGCAAAATAATTCGATTTCTGCATTTTGTTGATTAAATTAAAACTTAATATTTAAAATGTTTAATTGAAAATTTATTGTTTGATTTTTTGGTGGGTCATTGACCGAATGACCTTACAGAGGAGCCGCGCCTGCGTTCAATACTTCCAGAGGGGCGTTTCCCATTAAAGGCAGTTTGCACTTGGAGGAGACTTAGCTAGAAGGGCTTTTCCCATTAGAGCTAGTTCGCACTAGCCTTAGTCTGCCGGTAATGTATTTCGGCGCTGTATTTATACCAAATAAATGCTGACTCGTCGACACACTTTAGTAAAATTGAAGTACAGAGTGGTATTTACTTAAGTAGTTGACAATATTGTCAGCTCAATACCGAATTTATTGCCGGAGTAATACA